AAAACAACTTCATATCCCTTACAGAGTATGAAATCATATCTCCTGGTACTTGGGTTCGGTGCTATTGTGGATTGATTTATTGAGTTAAGCTGTACCCAAAGCTATAGCCACCTTAGCTTGCATACCCAACCGTGACTTCACGTGGCTCCTCACACGTGACATTGAAACAGAACTCTCCATTCCCTGGCCTTGCCTCCAGCCTGGTCCCCCACCCAGTGGCTCAGGCCCAGTCCCAGTCCCACACTTGATTCCTCCCCTGCCTGCCTGCAGTGCTGCTTGGATACGATTATTGCCGTTACCAGCACCATGTGATTTTGCTTCTTCTCTACATGGGCATTCTGCCCTGTCGTGCCAACTGTTGCTCTAAGCCTCCCGGCTGCCCTGTTCCAGAATCTACATTGCAGCGGGCCCTGCCTGATGGGCCACCAGCCTTCGGCCTAGGTTCTCACCATGCTGCCTAAGCTAAGGCTAAAAGGGGTCTCATTACAGGATCTTATTGCTCAGTCCTATCTTTTAGCCCTACACCTGGCTTCTCCAGGCCTAAGCTTATGAGCAGGTAGTGGTTTCCTGTGCATAGTGAGGTAGTGGAGTGATTTTTATTTTATTTTGTTTAATGCTTCCTGCTCCATCCTGATGGCTCCTGAGTGAATGTGTCTGTTTTCTTCCACCAGACTGCAAGCTCACTGAGGGCAGGGACTGAGTTCAACCCGTCTTTATGATCTTAGTCGTGTGTCTGGCATAGATGGTGATTGGTAAATGTTTATGGATTGAATTAATTTCCTCAATTTTATTAATTGACCATGGGGGAGATACCCCACACTCATAGACAGAACCAAGGAACACGAGGATGCAGAATGACTGGAAAGGCTTATATGCAGCGGATACAGCAGGACTTAGTGACAGCCAAACCCTCCTAAATTGTTGTTGTGGCTGTTGTGGTACTGAGGATGGACCCCAGGGCCTTGCATTTGCTAGCCAAGGACTTGGCCTCTATCCTCTCCTAAGTCTTTATCTCTCATAGATGCACAATAAGACAACAGTTTGTTGTTTGTTTTTTTTGGTACCGGGAATCAAACTCAAGACCCTGCGCTTGCCAGGCAGGTGCTGTGCCACTGAGCTATATCCCCGGCCAAGACACAACAATATTCATGGTGGTGTTATATGTAATCACAAAAAGCTAGAAGCCCTAGACTCTGCGAGTACAGAATCAGTCACACTCCTCGGCATGGACGGCTCTCAGGAACACACTAGACTGAAAAAGAAGCTTTCAGGTGAACCCATGCAGTATGATACCACTTTATATGGCCTTTAAGTACATGCAAAACTATATTAACTCAACTTAGGGAGGGATGCAACAAGATTCAAGAGAATGGTTACCCCACTAGGGAAAGCACTGAGTCAGGGGTATCTGGGGTACCGCGTCATTTCCCGGGTGGCAGGTACAGGGTGTGTGTGATCTAATCGTTCTGTGGTCACCGTTACTGTTGTTCGCCAAGCCTTTGTGGGTCCTTCTCCTTTAAGCACAATGACACGATTGTACTTTCTGGTCCTTCGTGGTTGGGAGGGGCCTGTGACTAGTTCAGGTTAATGAGTTGTGGGTTTTTTGTTTTGTGTTTTTGTCTTTTTGAGACAAGGTTTCACTATGCAGTTCAGGTTGGCCTTGAACTCACTTTGTGGCCCAGCCTGGCCTCAAACTCACAGTGATTCTCCTGCCTCAACCTCCCAAATGCTGGGATTGAGTTGTGTTTTTGAGACCCTCCAGATCTCTCTTTGCTCTTGACCTCGACTGGGGATGGACAGAGCCCTACTTAACTATGGAGGACCATGTAACGGAAACAAGGAGCTACAAGGAAGCTGTGTGTGGTGGCGCACACCTGTAATCCCAGCACTTAAGAGGCTGAGGCAGGAAGATGGCTGCATGTTCAAGGTCAGCCTCGGTCACATAGTGAGTCCAAGACCACCCTGGACTACGTAGTGAGCTCTTGTCTCAAAAAAAAAAAAAAAAAAAAAGCAGCAAGGAGAAGGAACAGAAAGGTATTAAGCCCCTGAAACATTGGGGCCATTTGTTTCTGCGGCACAGTCTAGACTCTTCTGATCGATACACACATTTACTGTATCTAGAATATCTTAATTTTAAAAATCAAAGTAGGGGGCTAGGGATATAGCTCAGTGGCATAAGCGCCTGCCTGGCAAGCGCAAGGTCGTGAGTTCAATCCCTGGTACCGCAAAACAAAACAAAGCATAAAAAATCAAAGTAGGGAAAATATCTGCGCTGTGGGGAAGGAATCATGGCTATTTTACCATTTTTTTTTTTATGAGACGCCACACTGCAGCTGAACAAGGAACCTGCAGTATAACATTAACTTTCCACCTTGTGAGCTCTGTACCCATCGCTAGATATCTAACCACACGTTATGTCTTACAGAATACCATTTCTCCCTTTAACCCATATAATGCCAAAAATCCCTTTCACATACAAACATATATTTTATTCTAATCCCCTTAACCACTAACATTAGTCAATCTTTACACATTTGTCAATTAATCTTACCTGGAAGGGCCGTGCCTAGCAACACCAAGGGCACTGGACCCTATCAACCAAACACATTGTGCCAGTCTTCAAAACAACACCTGGCTGTCCTTAGAATTGAGATGGATGGACAAGAAAACCGCCATGACCTGATGAAAACATTCCTGGGTGACATTTCCGGGCTCCCTCTTCACATTAAAATCAAACATAAAAATCTAAGCCTTTCACACCCACGGTGCGGTCTGCTCTTGGACTCACCCACTACTCTCTAGCAGTGTCTCTCTAGCCGCGTGTGAGGAAACTCAGGTTTTCTCTATTCCTTCGCTACTGGTAAATTCTTTTTACCACCTGCAGTACTGGTCTCTCGCCTGTCGCCCCTCAAACACATATGCTTTCCTGGCAAGTTCTGAAACAGGACAAGAGGACGGGGTACAGGAGGATGGAAAGACCTGCAAGGCTTCGTTTCTATAGTTGTTTGCGTAACAACAACAACAGCAACAACAAAATAGTTCTTAGCTTCCTTCCACCCCTTGGGTGGTAGCAGCCAGCAGTGGATTTGGGGGAACCTCAGGCTGGGCGCCCCAGGCATTTCATCATCCCTCCCTTAGAAACTCATTTAGCGCCACTGTGCTTTCCCCGGGCCAGGTCTCGGGTTCAGAGAACAATCCCCAGACATTAGACACCTGCAGGGCAGACCTGGTCTTGGCACATTCCTTGGGCTTTCAAGTCCCCCAATCCCCCTAAGCGGCAGAAACCTCAGCCAGAGCAGATGCGGAAGATCAGAGCAGACAGGATGTGAGGAAGCTCTTGCTTTGGGTGCCAGGCAAGAATGTGAGCCTGGGCTCTCGGGAGCAGGAGGCTGTACGTCTGTGTCACAGTCTGGAGCCCAGTGGCACTTCAAACACCAGTTTCCTGCCTTCTGCCCATGCAGGGGAAGTGTTTCTGGATTACCTTGCCTGGAGGGGCGAGGAGGAGGAGTTGCAGGTAATACCTGGATTTCTAAGGTGCTTTTCTTCCTAAAGGTTCAAAAGACTTCCCTTCTCTGATCTTCCCCAGACATAAAGCTAGGGGAAGATGACTCCGTTCCCCAGTTAAGGAAATGGAGGGGGGCAGAGAGAGTGAGCAAAGGGCCTGAGGTTGAGGTAGATTAGGGCTGGGGCACACTGGACCAAACCGAACCACAAGACCGAATGTGTCAAAGGTCATAAAAACCCAACAGACTTGCTCAACACACAGGCCCCCAAATGACACCCCTGCTCCTGTGCACTGTACATGAAACCCCTCGGGAAGTGAGACTTTCAGGTCGCAGCAAAAGTGTTGTTTTCAAGCCTTCATTTACATCTAGTGGGAAGCCAGCCCAGGAATTTTGTATACAAAGACCCGGTTCCCTCATCCTCCAGGCTGCTGTGCGTCTGTTCAGCAGCCCACCCTCGCCCTGCAGGGCGTCCTGCTTTTCCACATTCAACAAACGCAGCCTTTTCTGCACGTCTCGTCCAGGTCTTTGTTCAGGACACCAAGAACCTGGGGAGGATGCCCCCCCAGGACCCTCCCTCTGAGAACAAGGTCACGCAGCAGGACAGGTGTGATTCTCGTGGGACAAGGGCCTCTGTCTCTCTCCAGACCCCATGTCCCGCACCCGCCCTCAGCCCACCCCGCTGGACGCGTGGGCTCTCTACTCGGGCGGCGGCAGCCAGAGCTCAGCACCCCTTGCAGAGGGCTGGGTGGGTCCCGAGTGTCCACTCAGCCTCTCCTGGGGCCTGAGCAGAGAAGAGGAAGCAGAGGAACCGGAGAGGCTGAGGTCAGCCCGCCTCCCAGGAGCATGACGACAGGCTGGCCGTGAGCCCCGTGGTTCCGCCACAGGGAGGTCAGGCCGGGGAGGCTGCCAGAACACCGGGCTGAAGACGGTCCAGATAACGCAGCCCGGGCAGCCTCTGCGGGTGGAAATGACCTTTCTTGCCTTTAAATAGCTCCATCTCCGGAGTCCTGGAGCCTCAGTGGGGCTATTAATTCCTGGACTCCTGGGGCTGCCCATCCTGTGATTCCATTTACCCAGTTTGTGTAAGCTCTCAGGCATTTTTCCTGCCGCGGTGCCCCCTCCCCTTTCTTCAATGTTCCCGTGCGACTGGAACAAGGGGTCATTTTATTTCTAGTAGCAGGCCTGGGATGCGAGCTGACCACAGACATATTTTGTCCTGCGTGCAAATGACACGGCTCAAGTCAACAGCAAACTCTTGAGGGTTTTCTCTGTAACCTGGTTTTTCTGTAATGAAAGGTAATGTGTACCTCTGTGGATGATGAAAATAGAGGTCTGACCTAGGCAGGTGTGTGCATACGCAGCTTTAGTTCATCAGCTAAGTGACACCCGCTCCGGATCTATTTTTGACTGCTTACGAGGTATTGGCATAACCAAATGTCCTACCTGATAAAGTAACTTTTACCCCCAGGCCTGCCTCTTAATGGTGTCTCTTGCTGAGCTGGGTGACAATAATCCCACAAGTCTCTGAGTCCTGTCCACCCTTGCCAACCCTCCACTCATGGTACCATGCTGAGAATGAGGTAGAGGACAAGAGAGGGAGGCAAAGAGGTACTCGTCAGAAAACTGACAAGGCTTGGTGGCTGACTGGCTGGAGAAACAGTAAATGACCCATCCGTGAGGATTCCAAAGTATTCAGCCTGAGAACAAGGAGAATTGGTGAACAGCAAAGACAGAAGTACGGGTCTGGAATGGAGCAGTACGCAACTTGCCTCGGGAATCGTGTTTGCTAGTAACAAGGTCCAGCCAGGGTTGCTTAAACACGTGAGTGTTTAAGTCTGTATAAGACTTCACAGTCGTACGTCTGTAGCTCCAGGGCTAGTTTAGCAGCTCTGCTGCCCTTGGGACATTGCTGTCTTTCGCTCTATCATCTTTAAATTCTCCTTCTGGCTCAAAATAGCTACTGGAATTCCACTTGCTACATCTGAATTCCAGGAAGTCATTGAAAAATGAGTGCGGGACCAAAAGGGCATAGGATTCCCACCCTTTCAAGGAATCCTCCTAGAAATCCCCTGCCACCCTTGTGCTTGTGTCTCAGTAGCCAAAACTTAGTCACAGGGCTTTACATGGCTACACCAAGCTGCAAGGGAGACCGGCAAATGCAGGGTTTTTAGCTAGGCTTGTTGTCCGGGGCCGTTACTGAGGAAGAAAGGAAGGACAGACAGTGGGAAGCAACCAGCAGGTTTTGTTAATCTTTGTTCAGTGGCACTGGAAGGAAAGGTAAGGAGCTGTGCGGGGCGCGAGCTGGCCCTGAGGACGCAGGAGGGGAGGCACATGTTGGGAGGGAGCGCAGTCCATGGGCTCTGTGGTCAGTGCAGAGGCTGAGGGAACCATGGACCCAGTGAGAGCCCGTGACCAGACCTGGGAATGAATGAAAGGGAAGATCCTTTGAAAAGAAGGCTGCAGGCCTTGATCCTCCCTTGTCGCTCAGCGAGCCTGGAGACTGCCCGACCTTCAAGGGCAGACATGCACTCCCACCTAAGGGACCTCCTGTGAGCACCGTGGGGTTGTGGGCTGGGTTCTGACATCACGGAAGTCATCCCCTCCCCGCTGTACCCTGCCCCTGGGGCCTGCTCGGACCTGGCCTTCCTGGAGACTCTGCTTGGGAATCCTGGGAGCCGAGGAATACGGGCTGTGAGATGGAGGAGGGGCTCTGTCCCAAGGACATGTACCCAGGCGTGGGAGCATCTATGGTCCTTATGGCTGGGGTGTGTGTGCGTCTTTCTGTCCGTCTATCTAGCTATCTGCTATTAATAGGTAGAGATCTAGGATGATGCCACACATCCTCCAAAACACAAGGCAGTCCCTCACCACAATAAATTCTCTGAGGTGGGGGCTGGGGATTTAGCTCAGCGGCAAAAGCGCCTGCCTGGCAAGCGCAAGGTCGTGAGTTCGGTTCCCGGTACCGGAGAAAAACAAACAAACAAAAAAAAAAAACCAGCAAAAAAAAATAGAATAAATTCTCTGAGGTGGTGGGACCCTGAGTTCTGCAACTGGCACACAGCAAGCTGAAATGATTCAAGTTTCATTCAGACCCATGCAGTGGAGAGTGATTTTCGCGCTTACACCTAGGCCTCCGAAAGCCCTGCCAACCATGGAAGAAAGTGCAAACCATGCTTTCTGGTACCTCACAGCGATCCTCTACCGGGTCCCGGTTCCTTACATGAACCGCTGCTGAGCTTTTCAATCGCCGTGAAGAGGTGAGTGGCACAACCACTATTGTCGGTGTTTCACGGTTGAGCAAAGGAAAGCTCCGAAGGGTCAGGTGATTCACCCTACAGCACGCAGCTATTAAGTGACCCCGAAGCCCACTCGCTTTCATTCTCCACATACCTCTCATATTTGTTCAGTTCTATTACTACATATATCTGCTTGTGGCCTCATCTTAGAAAGCTCGTAATTGAGCGTGACAAATGAGGGAACTCTCCATTAACTCCAGAGCGTTCCATTAACTCCAAGCACCTCCTTCACCGGCGTTCTGGGTGCACAGGAATTTCTATGCTTCAAGCACATAAACATGTACCAGGAGGATGTAGTTCCCGGAACAGCAGAGCACAGTGGCCACCGAACAGATGAAAATATGCTCAGGTTCACTCAAGGGTCAGAGAAGTGCAGATGAAAGCAACAGGGAGACACCCGAGGGGGGAATTCGACAGATGTTAGAAATCACCAGGGGCTGTGCCAGCCCAGCGGGGCTGCTGGGGTGCGGGGGAAACATCGCCCTCGCTTATCGTCGGCAGGGATGGGATGGGGTGCATTACACCTACCACACAATCTGCAAGATTTCTAAAATCAAATCCAGGAACAGGTTGGCCCAGCAATCTAACTTGTGAATAACATGTCAATGTGTGACAAAGATTTTTATCACACCGCTGCACATAGCTCAAGGAAACACCGTGGACGCCTGTCTCGAGGGGGCATTTGAATCAATTGTGTACACCACAGAGCGCATGCAACCAGCACCAAGATTTTGGGCAGAGTAAGAACGGCCCCTGGCCAGGGCTGGAGAGCCCATGCACCACCAAGAGCAGAAGGGCTGTTTCGGTTGAGAGACTGTTGTTTGTGGTGGCTACACCACTGTATGCTATTAGCAGAATTCATCCCACCAGACACTTAAAATGACTAAAGTGTATTGTAAGTAAAGAATACTTTTTTCCCCCAGTGCAGGGATTGAACCGAGGACCTTCACACTGAGCTACATCCCCAGGCCTTTTAAAATGTTTTTTACATTTTGAGACTGCTCAGGCAGGACTAGAACTTGTGATACTCCTGCCTCAGCCTCTCATGGTACAGGAGTTACAGGCGGGAGCTGTATCACCCCTGGGCTGATAACACGAATTAAAAACCAAAAGACTGCTATACAACCACACCTCTTCCTGTGAGATATGAACGAAAGAGGGAGAGATACAGAACAAGGTCTAAGGAGATCCCAGTGACAGTGAAATCATCTTGACAGAGAGCTCTTGGCATGCGTTTGCAAGAAGGTGGAGAAATATACACAGACTAGTTCATTCTAGGTTGCCTACATCTTAGGTTACCTGGACTCGGCAGTGGGGAAGTCGAGAAAAAAGGAAAAGAAAACGCCAATGAAGTTTTAAAAGCACGTGACGTGACCGATATAGGCATGTATGTACCATCCAGAGCTATGGGCACGGGTTTAACTTAAAGCTGTAAGTGTGACTGGCAGGCGGCCGCGGGCTGCGCTGGGCCGAGGGGCCCCGGTGCTCTCAGGGCTCTGAGCCACCGGGACCAGCGGCGGCGCCTGCGGGCGCGCAGGGCTGCCCCTCTCCG